CTTCCTTCCTTCCTTCCTTCCTTCCTTCCTTCCTTCCTTCCTTCCTTGCCATGGTGGCATAGTAGTTAGAATGCAGTATTGCAGAATAACTCTGCCCACTGCCATGAGTTCGATCCTCATCAGCTCAAGGTTGACTCAGCCTTCCAGCCTTCCAAAGTTGGTGAAAAAAAGAGGACCCAGATTGTTGGGGGGAAATATGCTGACTCTGTAAACGACCTAGAGAGGGCGGTAAAGCCCAGTGAAGCGGTATATAAGTCTAAATGCTATTGCTATTAAAGGACGGGTGCAAAAGGAGGGACAAAATGAAATGCAAATGGCAAAAAATAAATTTTATTTATTGATTTATGTGGAAGAATTAAATTGAATTGTGGCGAGCTGGCCATGGGGAAGGGTCCCACTCCATTCTCAGAATGCCTCAGTCTTGCTGTCCATTGCCACTCTGAAAGGGTGGGGGGACGTTCCTCTCTCTCTGGGAGAAACAATTTCACAGACTTTCTGCAGTTCGGGTAGCAAGGAGACCTATAGGGCCACGTATGCAAAACAAGGACTCATTTAAGGCAACGGATAAGAACAGCGACAACCTCTGAGCAAGCCGCCCCCTCTTGAGCTCCCGAGCTTGATTCAATCACCCGAATGAGATAAAATTGAGTGCAGTTTTATGTCATTTGATGAAACGTTTGTCAACCATTACAGCCTCTTGCAATTGTTGGCTGGGCCGTTTGCAACTGGGGTGGAAGTGGATACCAGCATGAAAACAAAGGAACTTTTTCCAGGGTTAACAGAACTCAAAAGCCTGGAATCTCGCAATGGTGTTTTTGAGCTGTGCTTGATTTCCACGCCATCTTATCCACGAGAGAAGAGAAGATGTTGCATTTTGGGGTGCTGCAAAGAGAGGGGAAAAGGAAAATATAGTCGATTGCCGGGGGGGGGGATGTTATATATTTTCCTAGCAGTGAGAACTTTGAAGTGAGTTGGGCCAGGACCAAGCCCTCTTCTTGATGTCATGATTTTTTATTTTTTACTGCAGAGGGAACAAAGGGAAGGATATTAACACCATTAAGTCCCTCCGCGTGCTACGGGTCCTTCGGCCACTGAAAACCATCAAACGTCTACCCAAACTGAAGGTAAGGCAACAACAGCTGCGGAAACGTACTACTGACTTAAGACCAGGGGTGCGACTCAACCGGCGTAACAACGGGTTCGGTGAATGCGTCCTTTGCGTGCACGCAGAGTGTTTGCTACTGACCTTCTCCAGCAATCTTTGTGAGTTAAATAGCTGATGCGCAGCAATCCACTGTGCCGCGCAAATCAGCTGAGCTTCAAAACCAGGATATAGAGCACAGAATAGAGCGGGGCCAGGCAGGTGGGCTGATCCTCGGAGCAAACCGGTAGAATCCCATCCCTGCTTAAGAGGACTGGTAAGTTGGACATCTGAGCTTGATTTTTCTGATTCTGAAAGGGCCTTTTTGCTCCCTTTGGCGCAGGCAGTCTTCGACTGCGTGGTAAACTCCCTGAAGAACGTTCTCAACATCCTCATCGTCTACATGCTCTTCATGTTTATCTTTGCCGTCATCGCAGTGCAGCTTTTCAAAGGCCGGTTCTTCTACTGCACCGACGAATCGAAGGACTTGGAGAAAGACTGCAGGTGCCCCAATCTAATGGCAGGTTAGGGCAGGGCCGGAGTGGAGTGGATGCAAAGGCTTCCAGGTCTCCATGTAGCCAGAGGATATATTCAATTTTCTAAAGGCGGGGGAGGGGGGGGAATGACCAAACCTTTATTAAAGCAAGTCCTACAAAGATTAAGTACTCCAGGACTTTTCATAACAGGATAACAGAGTTGGAAGGGACCTTGGAGGTCTTCTAGTCCAACCCCGCCTGCTCAGGCAGGAAACCATAGTTGATACAATTTGAGACAAATCGCTGTCCCATTTCTTCATAAAAGCCTCCAAATATGGAGCAGTCACAACCTCTGGAGGCAAGTGAATCCACTGGTCGATTGTCCTCCTCACTGCCAGGAATTTCCTCCTTAGTTCCAGGTTGTTTTTGAAAAAAGTTGGTTTGGGGTTTGAAGCAGAGTCCTCGGCACTAAAAAAGGGCATTTTCAATTCCCAAATAATTCAGATTGAGGAGGTGTCGCAGTTCTCTATGCCTGTGTGAGCTGCACCAATAATTTTAATCAGGGCATTGCTTGCAAAAAAAACTGTTGAGAGAAACAAATCTCAGTTTTGACAGACTTGGATATGTGGCTTGTTTTAAACCCCATGTTTTGTCTCTTCTAGAGGCCAGTATCTGGCTTACGAAAAGGATGAAGTGGAAGCTCAGCCCAGGCAGTGGAAGAAATATGATTTCCATTATGACAACGTCCTCTGGGCTCTGTTGACCCTGTTCACCGTCTCCACTGGAGAAGGGTGGCCCACGTGAGTTTGCCTCCTTGGCCCTCCTCCGCTTTATTCCTAATGGCAGCCTGGTAAAGAGTGAGAAAACTTTCCCTGCGTTTTGGTGGATTTGAAGCCTTACCTTGATCTTATCTCTCTCTCTTTCTTTCTCTTTCTTTCTTTCTTTCTTTCTTTCTTTCTTTCTTTCTTTCTTTCT